ACAGCCCTGAAAGGAGTCTTTCAAATTGAGACAGGAACTCTCTTTATTCTTTCAGCAAAGTTGACCAGGAGATCGTCAACATCATCCAGGAGAGGCTTAAGGCCTGTCAGCAGAGAGAAGGAGAGAGCTCAAAGCAGAACTGTGCCAAGGAACTGCAGCAGTTCAACCAGGTGGCTAAGGCCTTCCATGACCGCTGTGAGTAACCCAGCCTGAATCCAACCGACTTCTGCTTTTCCTCCGCTATCACCAGTGTTACTAAAACCTTGCCCAGATTCCCCTGCCCGTAACAAGCTTTATACCCTCTCTCTTCTTTTCAGACTATGACCTGGGAGCCTATGCTTCTGCCAGAAAGTGCCTGGCAAAGCAGAAGCAAAGGATGCTGGAAGAGAGAAAAGCTGCCAGGGCTGCTGCCTAAGACTTCAAGAACTCGTTACATGGCAGAAATAAAGTGACTGGGTGCACCCTGCCTGGTTTTTGGTGTCCATTAAATGCATAGCTTTGTCCTCTTCAAGTAGAACTTTCACCAAGCATGGGGGAAATGGGTCACCAAAAAAAAAAAAAAAGAGACAAACTTTAACAGATTTAATTCACTTTATTTTTCTTGTATAAAAACCCTTATGTGGTGGCCACAGCTGGAGCCTGGGTTCTCTGAACAGACACTCGGGTGTGGGTTTTCACAAGATGGTCAGTGAATTCCTAAAAAGAGAAGTGAAACATTAATACAACATATCCCCTAGTCTTTAAGAAAGCCAAAGCAGCCAACACACCACCAGCTCAATCAGCATACCTGATAAGGAGATTTGGTGAACACAGTCTCTTTCCAGAGGTCAGGGGTCAGGTAGCTGTAGGTCTTGGAGATGGCATCAAAGGTGGCCTTGGCTGGAAAACAGTAAGAAGGGTAAGGGTGGTGGTTTGATTTGTGCAGATAAAAGTCCCTCCCACTAAGGATCTGTTGCACTCCTAGGAACGGAGAAGACCACCTCTCCCTTAAAAATAAGCCAAGCACACACTGGGCTGGTGTGACCCAGCAGAGCACAGAGGCCACAGCAACTGTGAGCTACCTACCAAAGTTGCCCAGGGTGGCAGTGCAGCCCCTGGCTGACGTGTAGCAGTCATCAATACCGGCCATCATCAGTAACTTCTTAGGCACAGGAGCAGAGACGATGCCAGTGCCCCTGGGGGCAGGGATGAGACGCACCAACACAGAGCCACAGCGGCCTGTCACTTTGCACGGGACAGTGTGGGGCTTGCCAATCTTGTTCCCCCAGTAGCCTCTCCGCACAGGGACAATGGACAGCTTGGCCAAGATGATGGCCCCTCGGATGGCAGTGGCTACTTCCTTGGAGCACTTCACACCAAGACCAACATGACCATTGTAGTCCCCAATAGCGACAAAAGCCTGTGAAAATACTTAGGTGAAATGGCTAGCAGTACCTCACAGAACCGGCATATCCCAACCAGGACCTGTGGTGCTCCTCTAGGCAAGAGAGGCCACTGTGAGGCCAATCAAAAGTACTTGAGGAACTCTTTTTCTCTCTCTCCCGGTACGAAAGTCACACGGGTGAAACCTAGTGTAACTATGCAGAGTGAGAGAGTTTTGCTCAGTTACATTGTTTAAACATTTCCACCTTGCCAAAGAACAGACTTAATACCTTGAACCTGGTCCGCTGGCCAGCCCGAGTCTGCTTCTGCACTGGCATGATCTTTAGAACCTCATCCTTTAGAGATGCGCCCAGGAAAAAGTCAATGATCTCGGATTCCTAAAACGGGAAACATGTTCAGAGCTTCCTGTCACTAGACAGAAAAGAGGAGACTGCTGCAAGTCGTCCTCACTTCATCCCGACAACGGATGTGGCACCTTCCCACCCAAACGATGTTTCAGCACCGAGGTGTCTACCTTAATGGGAAGGGAGAACAGGTAGATCTCCTCCAGGGACTTGATCTTCATGTCCTTAACCAGGCGGCCCAGCTTGGTGACGGGGATCCACTGCAGGAAGACATCGGTCAAAAGCAGGCTTCCTGCAGAGCGCGCGGCCGACCCCGCCCGCGGCCCAGACCTACCTCCTTGTCTTCAGCTTTACCCCCACGAGCCCCGCGGCCTCGACCACGGCCACGGCCCCGACCACGACCGCGGCCCCTAAGACCGCTGCCGAATCCTCCGCGGAAGCCGCCGCGGCCTCCTAGTCCTGGGCCCCCGGGTCCTCCGGGCCCTCCCGCTGCACCGGCGTCGTCCGCCATTTGCTACAGAGACAAAAGGAGGCAAATCAGCAGCGTCCTATGCCCTGCGGTGACTTGGGGTTCCGATAGGGGACCCCCGCCCACGGGTGTCCGCGTGCGGATGCCCGCGGATGTCCACGGCCCAGGCCCCAAAGACAGAATCCAGTAACACAGACTCACGTGTTTTCCCGAAGAAGAAGAAGAGCGAGGCTGCGCGGAAGGGGGCTTTTATAGGGCACCAAAGCGCCGCGATATCTCGACTGCGCGTGCAGCTCACCCGCAGGCTGTGATTGGCTGCGTCTTGTCCCGCCCCCGCCACGTTCTTCCTGCGCCTGCGCATATTCTCTCGCCGAAGCCGAAACCTACGCCGCCTGGAAGGGATTATAAAGGCTCTGCCCGGCGCCTCTCAGGCCTCCTAGTGATCGTGGTTCCGCGGTGCTGCTCCTGGCCCAGGTAGGTTGCGCCTCATCGGTCTCATGCTGCGTTCGCTGTTGGCCCGGTAAATGGGCGTTCGTTGAAAATCATCTTCGGCTTTGACTGTGGCCGGAGGTGAGATTCGGCGCCCAGAGCCACAGAGGCCTAAGCTCACCGCCCGCTGCCCCAGTGTGGGAGGGTGAAACCCAGGCCCCTACACTCCGGATCGTCTCGCCGCTCCCGCGTCCCGGCTTGTGGCATCGGATTAACAGTGTTGTTTCTCCACAGGTTCCACTGGATCTGGAGGCGGCCGCCGCTTCGTCCACGAAAACGGCAGGGTTCGGGTGTCCACTTTTGTCAAATAAAATGGTTTAACTTAATTTACCGTGTATGTATGTTTTGGAGGGTTCCTGTCAGTCTGGGTGGAAGATGCAGTCGTAGCCGGGTGTGTTAAATGTGTTTTATTTCGCCGCATGTAGGTATATGCACCATGTGCGTGCCTGATGCCCGTGGCCATAAGACGTCAGGTCCCCTGGAACTGGAGTTTGGTATAGTTGAGAACCCCCATGTGTCTGATGGGAGCCAAACACCAGGTCCTCTGAAAGAACAATGGTTTTGAGCCATCTCTAGCCCCTTTTTTTCTTTTTTCCTCCGGAGCTGAGGACCGAACCCAGGGCCTTGGGCTTGCGCTCTACCACAGAGCTAAAATCCTCAACAAACCCCTCCCCCCCCTTTTTTTCTTTTGAGACCGGGTCCTGCTGTGTATTCAATGAGGGCATGGAGTTTAACAATCCCGCTTCAGCCTTCCAAATGCTGGGATTACACCTGAGCTTCCTACTGATTTAGACACTACACAAATACAAACTCAAGTTTGTATGTGACAATTTTCAGCTGGGCTAGACCTTGTCTTGTACACACACTCCAGATGTAATTTGCACACAAGTAGGTAAAGTGTCCTGATCTAAAGTGATCACTAACAAGGATGCCACAGTAACTTCCTGTGGCTTCAGTGTTCAGGATCTTTAAAATGGCTGTGGTTGCCTGAGCTGGAGAGGCAGAGGCAGGCCTGCTCTACATAAAGAGTTCCAGGCCAGCTGAGGTGACAGTAGTGAGGCCCTGTCTCTATAACAGATGAGAGGTGGCTCGGCTGGAGTACTTGCTGCTCTTGCAGAGGACTAACTCCAGCTCGTGACTCTGGCCCCCCATGGTACCTGCACTCAAATGCACAGGCCAATGTGCAGACAAATCATACCTATATGTACATAGTTAAAGTTTTCTTAAGAAATGAACACCTAGGCAAAAAGTGACTTGAAGGGATGTGTTGGCCTTTTTTGATGAGAAAGATCTATTCTATTCACCCCAAATAGGGCACCAGTAATCACCAAAGTATGATTCCACTGAAGTTAAGCTTCGTGAACCAGTATTATTTATTCAGCTTACTGAGTGTGTGTGGCCCCAAAACAGCAAAGTCCTACCCCATCAAAGGTTATGATGTGGAAACTGCATCATGGAGTGGCCTTTTTAGTTACTTCATGTATACCCTGGCATCTCCCAAGATGGCCTGCAGCTTAGTTACTATAAATTATCTGGCCAATGTGATCTCTCTACCAATATAGAGACCATATTATAGTCAAAGAAAAACAAAATTATACAACATGCATACTAAAAGTCTGTTATCTCCCCAAGGCTTTTTGTTTGTTTGTTTTGTTTTTTGTTTTTCAAGACAGTTTCTCTGTATAACAGCCCGAGCTATCCTGGAACTCTGTAGGCCAAGCTGGCCTCAAACTCAAAAGAGATCCACCTGCCTCTGCCTCCCAAGCACTGGGGTTAAAGGCCTGTATCACCAATGCCAGGCTCCCAAGGCCTTTCTTACAGTTAAATTGAAAAACCTCTGGGCTCTTTCACAGACAGGATGGGCCTCCTATTGGGCTTAGTCCTTGGTGAAGGGATGTTAGTGGAGAAGGCCAACATCTAAAGTGACCACCCAGTCAGTGGAGGAGCTGCAACCCCTGGGAACCTGCTGGCATGGGGGAACCAGCCCCTAGAAGTCAGCCACAACCAAGGCAAGGGAGAGAGTCCAAAGACGACTCCTGAGTTACCTTACCACTCACCTTCAGAGGGAAAGGCAGAGGGTAGGTGGCTACAAGGTCCCAATGGGCCCTGGACCAGAGCTGTGATTGGCCCAAGCTAGACAATGCCACTGTGATGTCGGGCCACATGCACTGTGAAATGGAGGCTCCTGCGTCCTTAGCCTCAGTGGAGCTGCCGTCCAGACACAGATCATGGTGAGCCCCTGGCCCTTTCCACCAGCTCTGAGATAAGTGCTCAATTCCTAGACAGCTGCCTAGCTGCCTAGGAATCAATGCTATCTCACTCTGAGAATGGATGACAGTTCGTTTATGGGACAAGAAAATCTTTCTTGTCTCTAGGGAGTATAACCTGGAGTTATTCCAGCTTCTTCAGTCAAATGTTGGCAAATCTTGGGGGAATCGACCCCCACAGATTCAGCCTTGAAGTGGGGGCCAGCCCCTGCAGGCTATACTTGACTTTTTTAATGTAGCCTGCCTCCCTACCAAAAGATGGCTGCAGTATCATGCTAGTGTGAGTGCTTCGGGGTAGGGGCTTGGAGCCTGGTCCCACCCAGGCCTTAACACTGACCTGGCTTTTGCAGAGTGGTGGGTACGATCTCAACCTCTTTGCCAGCCCTCCTGACTGCAACTTCCTGTGTTCCGTCTGCCATGGGGTTCTCAAGAGGCCAATGAGGCTGCCATGCAGTCACATCTTCTGCAAAAAGTGCATCCTCCAGTGGCTAGCCAGGTGCCATTGGGAATCCAGGAGGGTGGGGGGAGGCTAGGGGGCAACTCCTGCAGCTGAGAGTGGGAATGTCTTCCAAAAACTGAGTTCCAATGGCTAGAAGACTCGGCCGCAAAATCTGGGACACTAAGAATGTGTGCCTCACTCTCTGTAGTCTGAAGTCCCTAGCCTCAGCCTGGGAGCCAAATCCTCACTGGAGGGTCCCCTTCATGGCCCCTCCAGCCAGAAAGGAGGGACCAGCTGGGTTACCCCATGAAGGCTTGCTCGGGCAGGCATGTGACTTCCACCTTCCCTCTTCCGCTTCCAACATCACACTGATACCTCTTTCTAGACAAAACACCTGTCCGTGCTGTAGAAAAGAGGTGAAAAGGAGAAAGATGGTCCAAGTGAACAAACTCCGGAAAACCATTGGCCGCCTACAAGTCAAGGTAGCACAGAGCATCCACTCCCGTCCTCCCTCCCGGTGGGGGGTGGGGCGGGGTCAGGAGAGGGGGCAAAAAGAAGCCTTCTGTCAGAACCAAGGATGGGCCCAAGGTCATAGACACGGTTAAAGAGTGTGCATCATGGGTCTACCATTTGCTGTGCCGCCAGACAGCTGCTTATCCTTTCTGGGTGCCTTGGAACGTCAGGTGTCATGTGGGGAATATAAAAAAATTTCGGGGATGAAGTGCCTGGTGCACTAGCCATTATGACTCTTCAGCCCTCTAGCTTTACAAAATGGAGTCACAAAAGCTTAGCAAGCAGTGAGGTGGAGTGGCGCACGCCTTTAATCCCAGCACTGGGGAGACAGAAGCAGGCTGATCTCTGAGTCTGAGGAGCCCAGCCTGCCTGGTCCACCGAGCGAGTTCCAGGACAGCCAGGGCTGTTACAGAGACACTGTCTCTACAAACCAATAACAACCTTAGGAGGCTCCAGAGTTCCCTTGTTTCATAGTCATTCGGGGGATATCACAGCTTAGAGGCTATGTGGGAGTCCCGGGTGGCAATGCCTAACCCAGTTTAATTCACACCGAGCTTTCTTATACCCCCTAGTGCAAGAATGCGGAAGCTGGCTGCTTGGTGACATGCCCTCTGGCTCATCGCAAGGGCCACCAAAACTCCTGCCCCTTCGAGCTGATGGCCTGCCCCAACGAGGGCTGCACCGCGCAGGTTCTGCGTGGGGTCCTCGCTGAGCACCGTCAGCATTGCCAGCAGGGTGGCCAGCAGCGCTGCCCCTTAGGCTGTGGAGCCACTCTGGCTGCCGCGGAGGGCGAGCCACACAACTGCTATCGTGAACTACGTGATGCTTGGGTCCAGCGCCACGAGCGCAACCGGACCCTGCTGCTGAGCCTGCTGGGGCGTGTGCGCCAGGTGCACCGCACCACCAACTTCATCCGCCGGCAGCTGGCACAGCTGGGCGACTTCCTGGAGGATGACTCCCTGCTTCTGAGCTCCAGGGCTCAGGAGACTGAGGTTGCCCCGGAGGCTGAGATGTGGGGTGTGCAGGGCCAAGGTGTCTTATAAAGGAGTTAAATAAACGCTGAGCCCAGGCCTGACCCACCTCACGTCCTATGCATGCGGTGTGCGATGTCGTCCTTGTCACCCCTGCTGACCTTCCACATCAGGCACTGGCCTTACCTTCCCTAGACTGTTCTCCCAGACTCTGTGAAGTTTTTTGTTTTGTTTTTGTTTTTTCTCTGACTGGGTCTACCACTGAGCAGATTCTGCAAAGCTGTTTGCTTACTCATTAACCCATTTTTCTTCCCATGGCTTTTCTATCAGCCTAATCGCTTCCTAGCTGGTGACACAAATGACTCAAAACTTTAAACTAAGAGTAGAAGAGATGGCTGAGAGGTTAAAAACACTGGTTGCTCTTCCAGAGATCCTGAGTTCAGGTCCCAGCAACCATATCGTGGCTCACTACCATCTGTAATGAGATCTGGTGCCCTCTTCTGGCCTGCAGGGGTGCATACAAGCAGAACACTGTATACATGATAAATAAATCTTTTGTTGTGGGTTTTTTTTTTTTTTTTTTTTTTTTTTTTTTTTTTTTTTTTTTTTTTTTCCAGACAGGGTTTCTCTGTGTTGTTTTGGTACCTAGCTCTGTAGACCAGGCTGGCCTCGAACTCACAGAGATCTGCTTGGCTCTGCCTCCTGAGTACGGAGATTAAAGGCATTCGCCACCACCGCCCTAAATAAATCTTAAAAGGGGGGGGAGGCAGGGAGAAGAAGCTGTGTGATTCAGTGGTGGCACACATTTTTTTAATCCCAGCACTCGGGAGGCAGAGGCAGGCTGATCTCCCAGTTTGAGGCCAGCCTATCAATACAGAGAAATCCTTTCTCAAAAACAAACAAAAAGAAAGAAAGAAAAGAAAAAAGAAAAAACCACTGACGGATCTACCTGGATTTTATTCCCAGGTTTAATTCCCAGCACCCACATGGCTATACCCAATAACATCCATAACATCCTAGTTCTTCTAGGGGACATTATGTTTTCTTCTGGCTTCCACAGACATAGATACAGGAGGAAAAAAAAAGGTGTGGTCCCTCCAATGATTGACTCATCATTATGTGGGCTTCAGTAGCATCTTGTAAAGTGATCTGACAAGTTTTCAGAATTTGAAATCTCTTTCCAGAAGACAAGCTACCCCTGTGGAGACAGGATCTCTATGTAGTTCTCGCTGTCCTAAAACTCATTATGTAGACCAGGCTGGTCTCAAACTCACAAGGATCCTCTTCCCTTTTCCAAGTGCTGTAATTAAAGCATGTACTACCATGCCTGGCCACAAGTGTATCTCTTTAGATCTATTTCATGTGTATAAATGTTATTGCTGTTTTGTTTTGAGACAGGATTTCTCTGGGTAGCCTTGGTTGTCCTGGAACTAGTCACTATGGAGACCAGGCTGGCCTCAAACTCAGAGATCCTCCTGCCTCTGCCTCCTGTGTGCTGAAATTAAAGGTGTGCTCCACCACCACCTTGGAGTGTATGAATATTTTACCTTGCCTGTTTGTGTGTGAACCATGTGCATTCCTGGTGCCCTAAGAAGTCAGAGGAGAGCATTGGCTACCCTGGAAATGGAGTTATGGATGGTTGTGGGTCACCATGTGATTGCTGGGAATGAAATTCAGGTCCTCTTCAAAAACAAGTGCTCTTGGGGCTGGAGAGATGGCTCAGAGGTTAAGAGCACTGACTGCTCTTCCAGAGGTCCTGAGTTCAATTCCCAGCAACCACATGGTGGCTCACAACCATCTGTAATGAGATCTGGCGCCTTCTTCTGTATACATAATAAATAAATAAATCTAAAAAAAAAAAAAAAAACAAGTGCTCTAAACTGCTGAGCCGTGTCTCCAGGTACCACACATTATAATATTTTCATTTCTGTGAGGGATTAGGAGAGAGAGACAGACACAGAGAGAGAGAGAATGGCTTAGAAGGCTGTGGTTCAGCTAATCCAACAATGGCTGTCTACCAATGAAAGGTCCAATAACCCAGTAGTTGTTCAGTTCACGAGGCTGGATGTCTCAGCTGGTCTTCAGTATATACCAGAACCCCAAGGAAGTAGACCCAACAAGGAAAGGACTGGCCAGCAAGCAGGCAGAAGCAGGCAAGCCTCCTTCCTCCATGTCCTTTATATAGGCTGCTAAAAGATGTGGCCCAGATGAAAAGTGGATCTTCCAATCTCAAAAGATCCAGATGAAAAGTGAATATTCCCAGTTCAAATGATTTAATTAAGAAGTTCCTCAGGACAGCCAGAGCTGATACACAAAGAAGCCCTGTCTTGAAAAACTAAAATAAAAATGTAAAAAAGGAAAAGAAAAAAAAGAAAAGAAAACAAAGAGAAAGAAAGAAGAGAAAACGTCCCTCACAGTTGTTCCTAGCCATGGGTTTTAGTTAATTCCAGATGTAAAGTTGAGAACCAAGAATAGCCATCATTAGCCAAGATGGTGAACTTCCAAGATGGCTGGCTTCTTCCTCGCCCTCCAGACCTAAGATTAAACCCCTGGCAGTTTAAAACAAAGGCTTTGTGGATTGTTTTGTTTTGTTTTTTTGAGACAAGGTTTCTCTGTGTAACAACTCTGGCTGTCCTGGAACTCCCTCTGTAGACCAGCTTGGCCTTGAATTCACAGACATCTTGCTTCTGCCTCCTGGGTGCAGGGGATAAAGGCTTGTACAACCATGCCCAGGCCAAAAGCATTTTTAAAATTCACAGTAAGATAAAATGCCTCCAACTTCTTTATGTGTGCATTCAGTCCTACGAATTTTCTTGAAATGGGCAGTGGTGGTACACACCTATAATCACAGCACTCCAGAGGCAGAGGCAGACAGATCTCTGTGAGTTCAAGGCCAGCCTGAGCAAGTTTCAGGACAACCAGAGCCACACAGAAAAACCCTATCTGGAAAAGGCCTGGGCCAGAGAGATGGCTCTCTGAGAACCTGCTGCCAAGTCTGATAACCTGAGTTTCATCCCTGGAACCTACGCAGTGGAAGGGAAAAAGCTACTTGTATGTCCTCTATCTCCACACATGCTATGGCGAGGGGGTGGTCATGCAGTACATACACACAAACTAAATGATAAATGGAGGGTGTTCAAGAGGCTGAAACAGATCTTGAGCCTGAAGCCAACCTTGAGTATAACACAGTTCCAGACCATCCTAAAACTAACTGGATACATAACCAGAATCTTCCTTAATAAAAAAAAATTTTTTTGAGACAGGGTTTCTCTGTGTAGTTTTGGTTCGTGTCCAGGATCTTGCTCTGTAGACCAGGCTGACCCCAAACTCACAGAGATCCTCCTGGCTCTGCCTCCCGAGTGCAGGGAGACTGGGATTAAAGGCGTCTGCCACCACCACATGGTTTAAATTAAATTAAAATCTTTTGTTTGTTTTTGGTTTTCTTTTTTCTTTCTTTCTGTCTTTTTTTTTCTTTTTTTTGTTTTGTTTTTTGTTTTTTTGTTTTGTTTTTCAAGACAGGGTTTCTCTGTGTAGTTTTGGTACCTGTCCTGGTACCACTCTCCCCTTAGGAGGACCAAGAGGACATCACTGCCTTTGCCCTCAGTCCTGATGATGAAGTATGATGGCAGGGATGGCGGGGGAGCTCCCTTCCATACTGAATTGTACTCAATCTCGCTCTGTAGACCAGGCTGGCCTCAAGTGCTGGGAGTAAAGGCATGCGCCACCACCGACCCGCTTAAATTAAATTTTTTTTTTTTTTTGGTGGGGGTTTCGAGACCTGGAACTCACTTGGTAGCCCAGTCTGGCCTTGAACTCACAGAGATCCGCCTGGCTCTGCCTCCGGAGTGCTGGGATTAAAGGTGTGCGCCACCATGGCCCGGCTTTAAATTAATTTTTTAAATGAAAAGCAAATGAGACATCCAGGCGTTGGTGGACCACGTCTTTAATTCCCAGCAGAAGAGGAGGTAGAAGCAGTAGGATCTCCGAGTTCGAGGCCAGCCTGGACTACAGAGCGAATTCCAGGACAGCCAGGGCTGCAAAGATACTGTCTCAAAAAAAAAAAAAAAAAAAAAAAAAAAAAAAAAAAAGGAGGAGGAGAAAACAAGACAAATTAGAACAAATAATAAATAAGTAGTAAATAGGTAGTCAAAAAATGCAAGACGTTCAGCAAGGTAGCCACCGCCAGCCTGCACGCTGGGAACACCTTCAGCTTCCACTCCTGGTCGCAGTAGCCAGTTCCCACAGTAAAGATGGCTCCCAGGGCGCGTGCTGATGGCGTCAAAGCAGCTGCCGCTCGTGATGTCATCACAACGTGCCTTGAAGTACAGCGTAGCGCGTTGTGTGTTTCACGCGGCTAAGGGCTGCTGAGCTTGGAGGAGTCGACTGCCCTCGGACATGGCTGAGGCTGTGGCCGGAGTGAGCCGCTTCAAAGCCAAGTAAGTCCTGGGCGGAGGCGCCGACCGCGAAGGGAGATGGGTTCACTGCCCGAGGATCCGGGAAGGAGAGCCAGGAGTTTCGGAGGGGCGTTCAGGGTGATACGAGGGGCTCCGAGTCCTGTGCTCAGTCAGCTCCCCAGGCTGTGGGGAACTGTGGAGTGCTAGGATAGGGACAGGCTCTGCCCTCGTCCGTAAGGTGTAGTTTCCAGATAAATAGTTCTCGCCCATCTCTGAGGACTGGATTATCAAGTGTTAGCAAAGAGAAGCCTCAGTGCCCACAGCATCTCTGTTGATGGGTTGACTGGGGCGCAGAGCATGGGAGGCTGGTTTCATCCTGGTGGGCAGACTTCCAGGGAGAGGCTGGGAGGAGGGGCCTTGGATTTGGGAAGACCAGACCAGCCCACATACAGGATAGAGGCAGAAAACTGTCACACGGGGCCTGGGCCAGGAACAGTGGCGCTGCAGTTGACCATTAAGAAAGATCGGTAGAAGTCCTCCCGGGCAGAGTCACAGAAGCGTGTGAGAAGAAGGGAAGCTTCACGCACTGTAGTGACACCCGTCAGATGTTCTAAAGGGGATGAGAGCAAGAGATGAAAGAGCAGGCCGGGTCACCAGTGAGGAGGCTGCAACGGCCTCTCCCCTCACACACACACACACACACACACACACACACACACACACACACA